GATTCTGGGATGTGTAGTCCAGTTCTGATGCTTCTTGCCTGTTCCTGCTGTGCAAAGCCAGTGGCCAAGACAATCAGACCGAGTGTCTGGTAAAATTCTTATATGCTTCCTCTTCCGCTTTGCTTTTATTTATTTTTTTAAAGAAAGTTAATTAATCTTCATAAGGAGGTCAACTCCAAGACTCTTACCTTGGTTTTGAAGGCACAGTTGAACAGATCACCCAGCTGGTGGGCCAGTGTTTCCGACTTCCCTGTTTCGGTAGCGTATAAGACCGTAACGGGCACTCGGAGAGCCATGGCGCGCCGGCTGAGGATGGACGCAAACAGTGCAGCCCTGGGGAAAAAGGAGGAAGCCATGACTTCCCTATCTTTGTGGTTCCCGACAGCTGCTGTTAATGAAAATGATTTAGCCATAGGGCAGAGCCTTGTCTGCATCAAGTTTGCAGAACGTGTTGTGGTGCATCCTCACAAATCCCTGGCAAGGTGCCACCAGGGTACCTCGGTGGCACCGTCTGGTCATGCACTGGATACTACGAAACAGGCATGTCTCGTCCGTTAGTTCTAGCAAAGTTAGACGAGTCAGATGAGAACGCCAATGAGATTCCAACCACTGCTTTTCAGTCCTGTTTATCCGGGATGCTCGCACGTCTTTGGGCCTGGGTCCCCGAATCCAAGCCTTTGGTACCGAGTCCCGGGTCCCTCTTAAAAATAAGCTTTTTTTTTCCCAGAAAAAAAAAGGTAAGAGCTGGGCGGGTTCCAAGTTGTGAGTCGAGTTTGTATTTCGACTCAACCCATGTGGTTGTCTTTAAGCACAACCCAGTCCAGTCGGCGGCCGGAGATCATTCTCATCCGGGACCCCTCTGGCCGGGGCCCGCTGTTCAAAGCCCAGCGTGAGAGACGATTTGCTCCCGGGCCAAAGGGCTCCCCATCCTGCAGAGCTGAGCCTCTTTATCCATGCGGGCCAGCAGGGGCTTCTCCAATGGGTGGTAGCTTTCCAGGGTATCAGATGGGAGATCCCCGGCTTCATCCGTCTACTTAAAAACCCCTGAATACCAGGATTAAATGCTCTGCCCAAGAAGCACGGCCTCCGTCGCTGAAATGACACCCCAGGATTGCCCAAAACTCCCCTGCCTTGGAGGAGAGCAAGAAAAAGCTACGGAGAACTTCAAAACTGTCCTTTCAAAAATGAGTTAAAGCTGTGCGTTGCTTAGCCTGGATGTTTTCATTTAAGGGCTACACCTTCAGTCTTCTATCCCACACGGCCGACTTCCATCAAGAGTAGGGGATGATGGGAAATAAACTTCCCCCCAAAATAACTTTTCTGAGCTGGGCAAACTACACCTTCCTCCTGGCCACCTGGCTAAATGCTGGGGCAGAACCCGATCCTTCCAGGAATGTCTGTGGACGCTTGATGGCTCGAGGAACCCGGGCTCCAGTTGGGAGCAAAGATGTGTTTCATTCCTAAGCTACATTTCCATCTTACCATTCCCTCAATGAGCTCAAGGTGGGACCCACGGCTTTTCTACCTCCTCATTCATCGACACGACAACCCTCCAAGGTAGGCCTCGGAGTGAATCGCCGAGTCACCCGATGAGTCGGCAGAGCAGAACGGAGAACTGCAAAGTGCCTGGCCGACGTACTAGTTACACCTCATAGGTTTTTTTTTTCTGAGCATGTCCTTCAGCCAGCCTCTGATCCCTGCTGGGTTTCAAACAGTGTCAAATGATGTGCTGAATTTCCTTCGGCATCCAGCTATCCAGGAGCAGCGCAGCGGTGGCAATTCAGAAGAGGCCAGGTGCTCATCACGGCGATCTCCGTGGCCCAACCTCCCAACCACACACAAAGAAGAGTCCAAAAATACAGAGGGTTGGATACGCTGATATCCATAAATTCAGGAGCAGGTCTTTGGGGAAGTTAACGGCTCTTACTAACCAATTCCAAACAACCTACTAGGACTTTACATTATAACCAGGGAAACGTTGCCAGCATATTCGGGAAAATCTTTTTCCCTCTCAAGTATTGTAGGGAGGATTTGCATCAAAGGTCAGATGGAAGCGCAAGAATGAAGGCGGGAGAGGTCAAAGTCCTTCCTATACAGAAGGTCCCAGGACGTTGACCCTGTGAGCCCCAGCACCACTACACCCCAGCGAACGAGTGGGCAGCCAGAACGGGACAACATCCTTAGCACTTACTTGGCCCAAGTGCGGAATTTGACCTCCCTTTTTCTGGGCTTCCGTTTCTCGTCCTTCCAGACATGCGTTTTCCAGGCCTCCACCTTGGGAAAAATTGTGAGTTGGGGGTTTATTAAATATTTTTAGGGTTAAGGTCACCATAATGCGGTCTCTCAACTTCCTTTTCCTTGCAGCCTCGCCATGGACTCAGAGGAGTAGATGCTGTGCCATTTCTCCTTCCTCTTTTTTCACAGAACTTGGAAAACTGTATTTTTTTTGGCGGGGTGGGTAGTGGAGTGGTCATTTTTCCAAGCTTTCTGCCCCCCTCCCCCTTCCCGCTGGCTTCATACCCTCCTCCCTGCTTTACGATTTGAAAAACCTCTAATTTCCCTGTCATCTTTTGTCCATTTAGGAAGTCTGGAAGACTTTGGTCACTTCTTAGACAATAGAAGGGCAGATCTGACAAATCTTGGGAGGTATTTTCTCCCCTAAGCTTCCATGGACCAAATAGATCATCCAAAATGCCCCAAAATAGAAGACTTTGGTCACTTCTTAGACAATAGAAGGGCAGATCTGACAAATCTTGGGAGCTATTTTCTCCCGGAAGCTTTCATGGAGCAAACAGATCATCCAAAATGCCCCAAAATACTGACCCAACCCAACCCAACCACCCTCCCTTCCACTTTTTTGAAACAGTGCCATTTGGGTGTAATAAATGTTGCAGGGGACATTTGTAAGCCAAAAGCAGGCCGAGCTACCCAGTCCCAGAGCCCAGACCCAGACGAAAGGAAAGGTAAACCACTTCTGACTATTCTCTAGTCAGAAACTCTGAAAAGGCCTGCCATACATCTAAATGGACTTCATGGCATATGGTTGTTGTTGTTACTAATGGCCTGTTTCAATCGTCATCATCCTCTTAGAACTGCACAGCTGGAAGATTGCCTACGGAGCATTGGCCCTGGTACCAAAGGCCCCATGGGGGGAATCAAACTCCCAACCTCTGGCTCCCCAACCAATAGGGTTTGCATCCTGGCTCCCATCGACGCCCAATCCCTGCCCAGTTTCTGCTCACCTGGTAATAATAGAAAGGCGACAGGATGTAATTCAGCATCTCCTGGTGGAAGACGGGCGTGAGGCTGCCGGAGATGGGGGGCACCAGCCAGACCCAGTCCGCCGGACACCCTCCGCGAATCCGGTATTCATTCTGCATGTATTTCATGAACGACTCGGTGGCCGAATGGTGGTCCATGATGGTGATGTTTCGTTTCTGGGAGAGTCATGGAAACGTCCGGTCAAGGCTTGGAAAAGTTACTTTTTTGAAGCTCAATCCCACGACTAGTGCCAATGAGCATTTTAAAAAAACAACAACCAATGAACCCATTGCCATAGAAGGCATCAAGGTGGGTGTCAATTCCATGGAGTGAATGGGTCTCCTCTAGTTTAGAGTGCCCAGCGGATCTAGGGCTCCGGACTATCAAGCCTAGGATTCTCTATTGGCTCCCAAGACCTGGGAGCAAAGTGAGCCCAGCCACTCCGGTATTATGAGGGCTCCGCTCCAGTTTTTAGTCCGAACCTTATAGGAGCGATCTAAAACACAACCCGTTCAATAGCTTCTGTGGCTTCAGATTAAATCCTGGAGCAGGTTTGCCTCCCCCCACAGAATTACAGTCACGAGTTTGAATCTCAGAGACCCTGTTCCTTCTCTTCTCCTCTCGCTTACCTGAAAGCTGTGCAAGACGGCAACGTTCACCTCAATTACCGCTTTATCTTTCCACAGGGAGGAGACTCGGTTTGTTTCCAGGCCCATCCGTCTCCCCACATCCTGCAAACAAAGCCAAGATCCTGGGTTTCAAACACTGGGGTCAAGCTAGCCATAGAGGTGCAAGAAGATAAACCACCCTCCATTTATGGGAACAGTGTGATGACACGGAATAGTCACTAACATTCTAACTCATGCGGGTTGAACGACTTGGGGACAGATTACCTGAAGGACATTGTAGCGCTGTGTATCGCAGAAGTCCCGCACCCCGATCTCGGTCCCCATGTACCAGCCGTTAAAAGGACAAGCTGGGAATTCCAACCCTCCGACTTCAAGGAGCATGTTAGAGACGGCTGGGAGTGCGTACCACTTCAAGTCCAGTTCCTCAAACCACTCGTAGCTGTCAAAAAAAGAAAAAAAATCAGACGGCATTCTCTTAATCCTTTTTCCCCGCACTGCATACAAGCTGTCAAAGCTGGTTTGTTATTTCTCCACTTATTGCTGCTTCTCCACTTACGGGTTCACATATTATACAACACAGTATTACGTGGTGAAGTATATAATTTGGAGCTGTCTGTTGCTTTATAATTGGTGTTGATTGTGATTGTATTCTTGCCACTTAACGGAGATGAAATGTTTTGCTATTACATTGTTAATTGCTGGAGTGTGATCTCTGGCTGGGGAGCCAGAGGTTGGGAGTTCGATTCCCCACTAGGCCTCCTGGATAGGAGCCAGGATGCCATGATGATTCTATAGGCTCCTAAATAGTTCATAAATCCCTGTGAAATGAATTCAATATATGCAAATAAGACGCTCCAAGCGAAAAGAAAGATGGGTGCTTGGAAAAAATTCCTAAATAATCGTTGCTTGTTGCTTTTATGAGGAACAAATATATTGAGATAATGGGGAATGTTTTTTGTACTTTTATGAGGAACAAATATATTGAGATAACGGGGAATGTTTTTTGTAACCTGCTAACTTAATTTGAACAATCGTCTGTACGATCCTAAATTACAAAACAAAGAGTAAGTGTTGGTGAAACTTGGGAAAGTTATATTTTCCCGCCCACCCCTACCCCCGGGAAAATTCTGGACCCTGCACTCCCTAAAAGTAACTCTTCTAGGCTCAGAGCGCCACGTCTAAGCACCCGTGGGCCCCTTGCTTCATTGCTCCGCAGAACCAGGGGCTGGCTGCCTCGTTGAAAAAATGGTGGTTTGGATTAAGCCAGAATTCCTGGTTCTTTCCAAACTCCCAACCTCTGGCTCTGCAGCCAGATGCTCCAAACCACTGAGCTACCCAACTGGGCGTTCTCCAACAAGCATGGGGAATCAATTAGAACAATGGCCCAACCGAGGTGCAGGATTTGAGCCCTGTGGGTTCATTTGTAGTGCAAGGTGTTCTTATCCTCTTCTTTTGCAGTCATATTTTTGGTGGGGATGAAATCAGAAAGCAAGCAACCAAGCCAAGAAAACAGGCAGTCCAAAGGGAGACGGGGTCCTCCCAGTCCACGGAGCAGCAGCGAACTGTTTGGCTTTAAATTGACCTCATGCCAGTCTGAGAAAGGGGGGGACGGCGGCTCTGGATGCTGTCATCCCGTGCCAAGGGCCTTACGTGGGATGCTCAATCGGTACTTCGAGGACGAGTTCTGGAGGCAGTTCAAATAGCTCCGGATCCTGGCCGTCGACTTGGAGGATGAGTGGAACCACATCAAAGCGCCCGTATTTGGGCTTCCAACCAAGCTGGATGCAAAGCTGGAAGATGAGAAAGAAATAATGTGATTATTATTGGAGTTTTTTCACTGTCTCCCTCTGTCTCATTTGGGGAGGGAGAATTTTCACTCCTAGGGAATTTCTGGGGACCCTTATTTTTCTTGCTCCTTCTACTTCTTTTTAAAGGCTACCTCAGAGGGGTTGCCCCTCTGTAAGACGGAGAAGCCATAACGAAAAGTCTTGGCCACAAGACTTTTCCTTATGGCTTCTCTGTCTTACAGAGGGGCAAATTTTATTTGTCATAAGGTTTCGCAGATAGCAATCGGCAGAAAAGCTTCGGATTTTCCGAATTTAGGGACTATAGGCCTGAGAAGTCTGCAGGGGTTTCCTCAGCACTCCAAAATCCCATTCCTTCCAGGGGTGTGTAATCATGGTTAGCTGAGATTGAATAGCTTCTCCCGAAAATGGCTGGAGAGTGAGGAAAAACCAAGGGCGAGCTAAGGTCCCTGGGACATACAAGGCATGATGGGCCTGAGAGGCTCTCTGTACCAAGCATAAGAGGCAGAGAGACTACTAAATCCATAATGCCTTACACGGCCCATAAAATTTAGCCTCACTTAGCCGCATCTTCCGTCTTCATCATAACAAAGAGAAGCCATTGTTCTCAACTGGATGTGATGACGGAGGACTGAAAGGACTGGGGGTTCCTTAATAAAGTCACTGAAGTCACTAAGAAACACAGCCTGGAAATGAATGTTAAGAAAACTAAGTTCGCATGACACATAAAGATCCAGTTGAAAATACAGTAGGACAATAGGGATCTTTGGGGAATCACTTCCAAGCCCCCCTGCAGATGCCAAAAACTGTGGATAATAGTAGATCCTATAAATAACATTAATTCTAGTTCCTTCTAGTGGCCAGGTCTGGCAATTACCTCATAGACATAAATATCTCTGGGTTTTTCATGTAAAATTATTAATTTTTTCAGACCGTGGATAAGTAATACTGTGGATACCGATCCCACGGACATGGGATGTCCTACTGTAAGGAACATGTTGGCAGTATAAATAAAAATAAAATAAAAATTGAACAGTGGAGTCACAGCCTGGCCACAGAGGTCAGAGTAACAATGAGCCAGAGTGGGCTTGCTGAAGATTAAGAATTTAATACACCAGAAAAATGGTTTTGAGAATGTGCACTGTACAATGCTCAATACAGTAGGGGCCCCTTATCTGCAGAATCAGTATCTGCAGATGCACTTATTCAAAATCTGAAAGTATTAAAAATATTAAAAGAAAAATCCTAAAAATATATATTTCTAATGATGAAGTTCCTGGAACTGGCCACTCGATGGAGCCAGAGACTCCTATACATGCTAGGTATATACATGTATATACAGTGGTGCCTCGCTTGACGACAATAATCCGTTCCAGCAAAACTGCTGTACAACAAAATTGTCATCAAGTTAAAGTAAAAAACCCATTAGAATGCATTAAAAACCGGTTAATGCGTTCTAATGGGCAAAATACCTCACCATCCAGTGAAGATCCTCCATAGGGCGGCCATTTTCTGGTGCCTGTAATGCGAGGAATCCATCCTTAACATAGCAGGGAGCCATTTTGCACAGTGGGGAACCATTTTGAACCCCGATGATCAGCTGTCTTTTGATCATCGTTAAGCAAAAAATCAGTTCCCGAAGCAGGGAACCGATCATCATCAAACGTTTTTTTCCTATTTAAACATCGTCGTGAAGCAATTTCATTGTGGAGCAGGGTAATCGTTAAGCGGGGCACCACTGTTTTTCAGCATCCGGGGGGGGGGGCTGGAACCGATTCCCCATGGATACAGGGGGTCCTACTGTAACTTGGTCCTTAATCATTGCTGCTCTTTGGTCTATACCTGCGTGAACTCCACGTTGGTTGGATCGCCTATGATGGAGCCGTCTGGCATCTGGTAGCCTGCATATCGGATGAGCTGGCTGTTCCAAATCCGGAAGTCATGTCTCCCGTCGGTCCTCTGGGGGAACACGGTGATGGTCGACCTGTTTCGAAAGGCAGGGTGAATGAACAACAGCCTCATCCCAGAAAGCATTCAAGGAAGCCATGAGAGATGCAAGGAAGCAACCCCTACCTTATGTTCCCTCCATTGGTGGCGTATTCCACATGACGACAGATGTGTTCAAACATTTCCTTAGGAGTGGCACAGCTCCGGGCATCAAAGACCTAAAGGGTGTCCATTTGGGAGCAAGAACAGGGCTGTTAGTCAACTACCCCTCTATTTTTCTGCCTGCCTAAGCTTTGGGACTTCCTAGAGACCCACCTCCTGGCTCCCACCAATGCAATATTGAAGTGAGCAACGTGTGGCCAAGGGGGGGTGCCCCACATGGGTCTGCCCCCAGCATTCATGGGGTTCCCTCCATTAGCTTGCTAAACACAAATTGTAAATAGCAAAGAGCAAAGCCTCTTGGGTCTGGATTTTGCCTGACTAGATGCCAACTGATACCTTACAGATGACCCGTCATTAGAATGCTAAAATTCCTTAACTGCTAACAGCATGTGATTCTCATGCAAAGGTTTTTCCCGCTTTGTGTAGCTTGTTTTCGAGACCCTTCAAAGCTCAACCTTCCAGATGTTCTTTGGGCAAAACCTGCTTAACAAGAAAAAAAAGCAGCAAGTAGAGGAAACGGAGAGACTAGCCACCTGTAAGTTCGACCACTGGATCCTGCCGATGCATCGCGGGGCGTTTCTCCACGCCTGCTTCGTGGCAAAGACCAGCTCCTCCCGGGTCAGCTGGTAGGTTCCGGTTGTTTCGATCTCTTGAGCCACCGCTTCCAGACGTGCCTGGTGATCTAATTTGGGCCTACAGGAAAAGGAAGCAGCAGCCACAGTGAACTGTGAACAACACCTGGGACAGATGTAATGCACAGCAGCCATTTACAAAAGCATCCAGGGGCTGCGTCGCCCAGATTGGGGAGGGGGGAGGTTTCCACCCAGATGCCACTCAGGAAATATGATTTTCGGCTTGGGGCCCACTGGAGAAAGGCAGAGGAAGAGGAGGAGAGATGACAAGGGAGAAGACACAACTTTTTTTACATTTTGTGCTGCTTTTTTGTACTGTGAATAAGCTGAGGACACTTGGCAGACTTTCTTTCGAAAGAAAGAAAGAAAGAGAAAAAGAGAGAGAGAGAGAAAGAACAGAAGAAAAAGGAAGGAAGGAAGGAAGGAAGGAAGGAAGAGGTTGAAGCTATTTATGTGTCATCTGACTCCTCCAGAACAGGATGCAGCTTTGATCCGGACCTCATACAAATCAGACTGAATCAAGTCAATTTGGTTCAGGATTTGTCCAATTTCAGATTATAGTCCTAATTTCAAGGTGCTTTTTCAAGGCAAAAATAGGAAGAGACGTACAGGCTAAAAGCACCCGTTTTTGGTTTCTGATATTTAGTTGCAAGCTCCCCTCTTGCGATTTGAATTGTTTTTTGCTGCTTCACACCCTAGAATCCACTTGGGTTCTAGGGTGTGAAGCAGCAGAAAACAAGCTTCCTTTATTTTCCATGTGAAATTCCTTCAGATTCAGTGGTCCCATTGTATCTGCGGGATCAATATCTGCGGTTTCACTTATCTGCGGTCTGGAAATATTAAAAGACAAAACCCAGAAAGATGTATTTCCATGATGTCGTTACCAGAACTGGCCACTAGAGGGAGCCGCAAATTGTGCTATGTATAAGATTCACTAATATCCACAGTTTTCGGCATCCGCAAGGGGGTTTAGAATTCTCTGCAGATACAGAGGTTGTTCTGCCCTTAAAGAGGGTTCCCACATTACTTCCGCAGTCTTCTTCAGGGTAAGCATACCCAGCTTCCTCACCCATTCCTCGTGGAGTTTGGTCTCCAGACCTTTTTCCCCATCCTGGCCACCCTCCTCTGGATGCCGCTGGTCCTGCAGTACACAGACAGGGTCAATGAAACTGGCTTACCCTTTCGACGAACTGTAGAACAGATTGATAAACTCAGTTGCTTGGAGTAATACTTCACTTCTCGGAATGGGTTCCTCTCGGGGACCTCTGACCAAGGCCGGGGCATTCATGACAGACCCATGACAAACTTTGGCCCTGCAGTTCAGAAACTGAAATGAACAAACCACATGAGAGAGAGAAAAAGAGAAAGAGAGAGAGAGAGGTCACAGAAGGATCTGTGCCCGGAAGAAATCCGGTTGAACCCACTGGGTCCGAAGGACACGTTAGAGCTTTTCCTTTTGCAAAATCCATTTTTATGCGTGTTGACACAGAATGCCGGCAACACAACGGTGGAGCGCTCTTGTTAAGGGTTCCAATCCGTGAGCTTAGAAGTTGAAAAAAAATTACTTTTGGTTGGCTGCAGCTCTCAAGCACATGGGCTCTGCTGCTTTGCTAGAAGAATTCCAGGAACTGGGAACATCCAACCAGCCGTTCCATCCCCCTCCCTCCCCTCCCTTAGAAGTTGAAAAAAAATTACTTTTGGTTGGCTGCGGCTCTCAAGCACATGGGCCACATGGGCTCTGCTGCTTTGGTGTTCCGAATGACAACTATTGGACAACACAGTGAGCATAAGAAGACAGATTGTGAAGCATATCCGAGAGAGAGAGAGAGAGAGAAAGTGCCACAACCTCTCTTCCGAATGACTACTATTTGACAACACAGTGAGCATAAGAAGACGGATTGTGAAACGTATTCCTGAAGTGCAGAGCCCTCCCTTACCCTTACCTCTTTGGCCTGGTGGTGCAAGGAATCTTGAAGGCTAGTTCCATTTTCCCAGTTTTTAATTTTCAAATGCCTTGGGCACCCAGAGGTTTGCTTGGTGTTACCTGGGAGACATTTCTGCGCAGCAAAGAAGTCAAGAAGGGAAAATAACGATTTGGGTTACTTATTTGCTCATTCGATTGCAATTCCTGCTGGTCCTTCACAGATCAGAGATCAGCCTTTACAACGTCGTCTCCTTTTAGTTTCACAACACGCTTGCTAGGTAGGCCAAACTGACAATGGTTCGATCAAGGCTAGCCAGGATCAAACCACACAGCATCATCTATTTTTCTCTCATCATCCCATGTACTCATCCTATTAAAGAGTGAGGCAAAGTAATGTTTTCTGATAAATATTATAGTGGCCGCTTAAGCCGAAAAAGAAAAAAAATACAGGTTTCAAAATAATCTAGATATACAGGAACATTTAGGAGCTAAGCCAACTGGCATGCTCTCTTGATCTTTCAATCATTTATAATTAGTCCTGTCCAAAACAGGAGTGGCCCGAGATATTTTGCCCCATGAGACAGAGCAGGAAATCCACTCTGGCACAGGGTGTATAATATCCAAAGCTGATCCAATAAATGAAGCCTCTCTGTTTATATGGCAATGAAAACATATCACCATCACTACAGTCCTCAAAATAGCAGACATGAGATTCCGTGTCAACTGCCTAAAGGCCGCAATGGACAAGATGCTGGATTCCTTATCCAGAAGCAGTGCTCCCTCAAGTAGCAAAAAAAGGTCTAAATATGAAAAGATATTATTCACATTTTATAAGCAGGAGCGTGGATGCTACTGGAATTATCACTGAAATACAAACACAGGCTTCTGGGAAGTCATGTTTCTGGGAAGAAAGAGCATGTCCAGTTTTATTGCTAGTTACAGTGGCTACTTTTAGCAGTAAATTTTTATTGAAGAAGTCTACAGACCACTCCATCAATTATTCACCATATATAATAACATTATTGAATTTCATAAACTTACAATGAAAAAAGAAAATTGGATCACATATACCTCATATATAAACCAAATACTCAAAATTATATCAGTCAGGTCCTCAATCTAAGATAAATTACAATCCTGTAAAGCCTTAATTTAAAATCCTTACAGAACTCTGCTATGTAGTTTAAAAAAAAACCCACACATTTCTTTTCATCATCCTCTTTCTTTCTTAGGGAGGTTGCCTGTACCACATAAAGAACAATCCTCTATGTTATGAACAGGACGGATCCACGCAACAAGTCATCTATTTTTCTCTCATCATCCCATGTCATCATCCTATTAAAGAGCAGGGCCAAGCAATGTTTTTAGATAAATATAGTGGCTACTTAAGCCGAAAAAGAGAAAAAAGGATACAGGTTTCAAAATAATCCAGATATATAGATGTCCCCACCATAAACATACAAATAATTGCTACATGGCATGATATGATATGATACCACGAATTCAGACTCACTTCTTTCGCTGCTGCAGCGTGGATTATCACCTCTGGTTTCTGACTTAGGCCATTCGATATGCTTTCCTCTTGTTTTTCAGGGCTAGGACGGGAAGGAATGGATCATTACAAGTCACGAAGGTTTTGAGCTTAAAAAGGCAGTATGGCCTAGTGGTTAGTATTTGAGCAGGGCTTGGGAAGGGGGGGGGTTCTAGTTTCTAACCCCCACTGAGCCATGAAACGCCCTGTGCAAACCGACTTCAGACCACAGCATCTCGCTGGGAAGAAGCATGGCCCCAAAGTCACAGAGACGTTATCAGAAGAAGCCCAGATTATTAAGAAACACGGACTGTTTCGAGGTGCGGATATGAGGCTCCATCTGTTTCACACCTTTGGGGATCAGCTTTTTCGGCAAGCGCCCAAGCACACATTTCAAAGCGTCTTTGAAGTTACTCTGTTCCGAGGTTCCCCAGATCCCAGACCAAAATTCCCGTGCAAGCGACACTGAGTTCAAGGGAAAACCAGTGAGATAGCAAAGGAACAGGATAGCAAAGGAACAGGATCCTAACCACTCAATCGCCTACTGTGAAAAAATCTGCATGGGATTTTCCAAACTGAGACATTCCCCTCTACGACAACTTAAAAATCGTAGCTGAGACGAGTCCTGTGGATGTAATTTTGGCCCCTTCTCAGCCTATCAGAATGGAATCATTCCCATTCATGCGGCTCTGCTTTAAGAAATGGCTTAAAATATTTCGAAAATCTGTCAGAAACTCTTTTAAAATGACCTTCTCTGATGCACATTTTTTTTCCCCTTTAGTAGTGCTAAATTGAAGGTTTTTGACCCAAGAAGGTCTTTCTGCCTGAACCCTGCCCCAGGGACAAAGCGACCCAGACAGGCAGGAGGGGCCTTCAAAGGAAACCAGGGGTTGGGTTCCACTTTCTCACAGTTTGGACCCATTTAAGGTTTGTGTCTTCAATTTGTGATGATTCATTTAACACTAACCACTCTCAACAATCACCCAAGCATGTTCATCAGCAGGTGTAGGGGGCTGGAAACCCTTACCACCATTCATGCCCAAACATGTAGAATCAAATTTCTTAGGAAATTCAAATTCAGCAAATTCATCTGAGAGTGAGAGTGAGAGAGGGAATGGAAGCCCAGCTATTTCAAACAAAGAGAATACAGACTCCATTTGCCATCTCCCATTCTGTACACCAGAATTTGGAAGGTTCCTTTAAAAAAAATCACTTAAGGAACACATTACAATGTAAAGCAAGTCACTTGCCATTTTACCAATTTACTTTTCATTACCTTTCTATTACTTTTTTTTGTGAGACCTTGGAAAAATTAGTTTTGGGGACTCAGTTGGGTAGAATTGAGGTTTGAATGCCATTGCCCCAGAAAAGGAACTTTCCTAAATTCAGTTGTTGTTGTTGTTACAAGTTAAGCATACAAACGCAAACCCCTTGGAATGGCTAAGAGAACAGCACAAACCCCCTCTCTAAATGCCTCTTAGAATTCCTTTAAGAGTAACTTTGAAAAGTAACTTGAAACGGACCAAGGATGAAAGTCCTCACTCGCTTCATTCTAGCACCGTTCATGAGAAAAAGGAGGGGGGAATTCCTCAGTCGGGAGAAAACTGTGAGGTTTCCAAAGAAGCACAATTAGATCAGGAAGGTTAAATGAGAGATCCCAGGGGTGCCAGCCCTGCTGCAGTGGATGCAAAGACTGAAGAACCCAACCCAAAGGCCAAACAAAGAGCTTGCGTCAAACCGCTTCAAATATAAACTTCTAGCGAGCTGGTCAGAGTAACAAAACAAAAGCAGAGGATGCAATTGACAGAACTAAATTCTTGGGGGAATTCACTAGATGGATATTTCAATTACACCTCAGCTTGGCAGCTTGTTAAGAAAACAGTGGTCTTTTCCTTCAATCTCTGGCATAATTATGACTTTTTAACCCAGCTCTCTACCTTTGGACACTAGCCAGGGAATCTGAGGTTTTAAAAACGTGTGCATCACGTTCCCTCCCATTCCATTCTTCAGCCTCTTATGGTTCAGTGAGCCTCTCTCTCTTTTCCCATATTAACTGCACAATGATCCTGTGAGGTAGGCCTGAAGACACCCCCACAATATTTTTTATTTATTCCACGCATGCACCCTGCCTTTCTCCAAAGACCAGGCTCCTGGCGACTCATAACATTCAGTTATGGTCGAATCAGTTTTAATATTGGTCAAGATCCTATTACTGGGGTAACACAAATGACATATCTAAGGGGGTGAATTTTCACAAGATATGAAGTCAGCCTTAGACACAAGGATCACCTCTCACTTCCCTGTTACAGCAGCTCCACCAACTGCTGATCTGTTTCTGGGCACAATTCAAAGTGATGGTTCTAACCTATAAAGCCCTAAATGGCTGGGGTCCAAGCTATCTCAAGAACTGATTCTCCCTTTATAAGCCTGTCGGGATGCTAAGATCATCAGGAGAGGCCTTTCTCTCAGTCCCACCACCTTCAGAGTCGTGTTCGGTGGGGACCCAAGAGAGTCTTTCTCTCAGTCCCACCACCTTCACAGTCGTGTTCGGTGGGGAATCAAGAGAAGGGCCTTCTCTGTGGCTGCTCCCAGAGACTCTGGAACTCCCTCCCACTGGAGGCCCGCCTGGCCCCTCCTTTGCTGACCTTCCATATTCTGCCTGAATCGGATTTTTAAAGGATTGGTGTTCCTTGTTGCTTTGTGGCATTGTCTTCATCTCTTTTTTAAAGCATTTATACACTGTTTTTAGTTTTAAGCGTTGTCTTGCAATGCTTAAAACGCTTAAAAAGACCTTTCTCTCCAGGCAAGCCTTCCCTGAGTGACCGTCTGCCTGAATCCGTTTTTTAAAGGGTTGTTGTTCCTTGTTGCTTTGTGGCATTGTCTTGATCTTTTTTTTAAAAGTATTTATACATTGTTTTTAGTTTTAAACGTTGTCTTGCAATGACCCCCTGGATCCTTTTTTAAGGAGAAAGGTGGGGTAAAAATACTTAGAATAAAATAAAAAGATCATGTATCGAACAGTGTGACAAAAACGGCTATGCTGCAACTTGCAACAACTGGCCACCAAGAGTTACACCATTAGAGTCACACCAGCACTAGGATTTTAGCACAGATGGGTCAAAAACGGGGCAGAGAGGTGGGTGGGGGGAGAGAGGAGCCAAATTCTGCCAGAGCCAAACCTTTTCCAGCCCGGAGGGGCAAGCAGAAGGCAGACACCCAGTTGAGCCCAAGCGATTGTAAGTAACTTTCCACGATCTGAGCCTAGAAAAGGTTTGAAGTCAGCATAACCTAGCATGGAAACCAGTGTCAGTTCACCTGGCCCCTGGGTACCTTGGCCAGGTAGAAGGGCATTCAAAAACTACATTAACCCCTGATTTTAAAAAAAAATCAAAAACCAAACAACCCTATCTCTAAATAGCTCATTAGTTGTTGTTGTTTCAACTGCTTCAATAAAAAGAGAAGATGGATGAGTCATTTCGTAGTTTAGAGAATTTGAACCCACCATCTTCTGATCCTGGATCACACATGGATGTTTTCTGGCTCTTTTATAATCCCAGCTTTAAGATCTGAATAGGGTTCTCGGAGGTTCTCGAATTGTGTTCAACACATCCGTGCTTACCAAAGAAGAATAACCCACAGGTGTAGATTGTATCATGTGCCATTTTCTTATAGGAAACAATCATTATCATGTGCTGGCAAGTCAATTCTGACCGATGGTCACCCTTTTCAGGATTTTCCAAGGAGAGAATATCTAGCTGTGGTTTCCTATTTTCTCCTCCTGGGAGGGATCCCTGGGACCGTATATGCAGCTGGCCCAAGGCCACCCAGGCTGGATTCGAACTCCCAACCTTCGGCTCTGCAGCCCGAGACGTAAACTAGTTTGCTCTCCAGCCAGCTTTCATGAACCCCTTTCAAAGCCCTCTGAACCACCGGATTAGGCCGTCTTACCGAGAGGTAAATGGGCTGCTGTGGCCTTTCTTTTCCATTCCATTTAATCTTTTCGGGAGAACACCTTTCTCCCACCTGAGCTTTTCAGAGAAGGAGGGGGGGGGAAACCCAGCGGCCTCACCTGCAGACGCGCCTGGTCGCTTTTTCCATGTTGTTGTTGAGGTCCTTGCCTTCTTGGGACTTGTTCTTACCGGTCGGAGGCTTGAACAGCAACTGCCAAGGGCACATCATTTTCTGCATGTTACGTAGGGGGTCGTCGGGCGGCTCTCAGATCCAAGCCTGGCGGAAGCCCTCCTGCACAAGAGAGAAGAGGACCGTCCCCGAAATGAAGCAGAAACGTTCCTTTTGAAAAGGGGAGAGGGAACTCCTTCGGCCGCCTTGGATCAGAAAGGGTCTTTAAATATCTTCCATTAACACATCATGCGACTCGGCCTTTGTACCTGCCCACTGGTGCAGTTCGCTAATTTTAGGCTCTGGACTTAATGGTCCTCTGCCTCGGCACCTCCTGAGATGGGCAGGGAAAAAAACCTAGAAATCCACTAGACACCCATCACTCCTGCGACTCTGATACAAAACCCCACTCTATTCGCCCTTCCCATTTTTTTCTTGCAAAAAGGAAGCATTCATAGTGAAAAGGCCTCCTTGTACCGTCTACTAGCCAAATATACTTTAATAATAACTGTCTGTCTGTCTGTCTGTCTGTCTGTCTGTCTGTCTGTCTGTCTGTCTGTCTGTCTGTCTGTCTGTCTGTCTGTCTGTCTGTCTATCTATCTATCTAATGGTAAAAGGAAAAACCCCAAGAAAAACTATTTTACAAGCATTACCAGAACTTGCTACTAGAGGGCACCAGTTCTTCACTGACACGCATGGTCTCTTGCTCCATCCAGTGGCCTGTTTTGGTAATACAGTGGTGCCCCCGTTTGACAATCACCTCGTTAGACAAGGAAACCACTTAACGATGAGTATTTTGCGATCGCTATAGCGGATTATCCTTGTCAAGAGAGGCACCACCGTACATGTGAAAATTGTTTTTTTCCTGGATTTTTTTTTCTTTTAAGGCATTTAATACTTCCAGATAAGTGAAACTATGGATACTGATCCCGTGGATACGGGAGTCCTATGGAGTTTTGGAGCACCAGGGAAGTGGGAAATATATTAAAACATGGCAAAATTGCTCTCCCCACACCATGTTTTGTCAAGGGCACAAGAGAATCTTCTGAGACAAACGGGGGGGGGAGGGAGATGGAAAAAAATTCAATAGGAAAAAAATGACAATTTGAAAAAAGAAATTAAATCAGTTCTGGATATGAGGATACCAGATTGGGGCACCTCGAGGCCTCATCCAAAGTAACTTATGACCTCGGCTTCTTACTTTAGCTAAAACTATGGTCAGTCAACCCTGATGCTTTGGGGACCTGCTCTCTTCATTCTGTGGATCAGGGCCCTAGATCTTTGTCTCAAAGTCTACTCGTGTGGCACCACTGATCACTGGTCTTAGTTAGATCAGTTTAGAGTCAGCACTTTAGTGATTCCCATTTTTAGATTATAAGCTCTATTATTCACTGCCATTGTCTGTCTTTGCTGAGTTTGGGGCTGCTCTTGGCCTGTCTTGATGAATTTGGGAATGCACATTTGTGCCCCAGCCCACACCAGTAGGCTTGTGTTGTGGCCACTAGAAACAGACTGCCTTTCTGTACCTAGAAAGGTGCTCAAAATAATCAAACTTTTACAACATCTGGGTTCAAAAATCGAAAACCCTTGATTTTGGCAGCTGTTTTGAACAACGGAAAGACAGAGAGGAAGGAAGGAAAGAAGGAAGGAAGGATCTGATGAAGGACAGAAGGAAGGAAGGAAGGAAGGAAGGGAGGAAGGAAGGAAGGAAGGAGCGGATGAAGGACAGAAGGAAGGAAGGAAGGAAGGAAAGAAGGAAGGAAGGAGCTGATGATGGACAGAAGGAAGGACGGAAGGAAGGAAGGAAGGAAGGAAGAGAGAGAAAGTAATATTAAAAATATTCTAGTCTTCTTGAAGGTTTTTGCTTCATTGGAATGGACAGAATCTTACGTAGACCTGTGTGAGTCAAAGGGTATAAACTGAGTCAACAGATAGCTATGAGTTGAGAAAGCTGACGCTTGCATTCCTGATCACACACCAGTCACTTGGTGTGGCACACAACAAGGGGTTTGAGCATCAACAGCTTGACCTACACCTGTGTACGCAAGTAGGAGGATTCACGCCATAACGGGACTCCAGAATGGTTACGAAAACACCATGAATTATGCATAGTAAGGGGGAAAATTATTTTGTTCTCCCTCTCTCGTGGCATGAAAATCCAGGGTCATTCAATGAGCAGATGGTTCAAGCCGAAGAAAAGCCCCAGTAGCAGAACCTCGCACCCTGTACACACCAGCTCCTTACTGGGTTCTCTCCCCTCTTGATTTTCCAGCACTGAATTGAAGGACTGGGAGGTTTGGTTTGGTTTGTTTCTAGCACTCCGCAGACAGAAATCTCCCTGTGATCTCCAGTGTTGCTTTCAGCTAGATCTACAGTTGCAGAGCCGGTCCTAATATTGGGCAGGGTGAAATCTGAGTTGGTGCTCAAGGGGAAACAAGGCTCTGGCCAGACTCCTGTGGGTAGGATGATAAAAGAAGAACCTAATTGATTGCCCCGAACGAGCACTCATTAACGAGGCGCCAGTTGCTTTACAAGGCATTCACTCAGTTGCACAAGTAAACCCCCATATCTGTGGGGGAATCAACGGAAAACACAGAGGGGTTGACTCACCGAATCCCCATGGATTCAATAAGACTACTCTAGGAAGACTTCCTATGATTTGAGCCGATTTCTCAAGATCTTTCTGGCCCCCTCCCCACTGCCGAGCATGGTCAATGCGCTGGATCGGGACCGGAGACAGTTTTTTTTTAAATCCTTTTTTAAAAAGTTCACAAAGTTTAAGATTTAAGGATTGTAACAGGACAGGATCAATCATCTTACAATCCTAAACCCACCGACACCCTAAATTCCCCATCGGAGAGGTACCGGCATCCAGGTAAGCCCAGCATCCTACCGCAGGGGCCTCAATCATCTCCTGGTGATCTTGACACATTCTTAAAATATTTTTGAAACATCAGAAGGAGAGAGTGCTTTGATCTTCCAATCATTCACCACAGGCACATCCCATGTACCACAACAAAGCCCAATCTCATTCATTCCAGTGATGGGAGGATGATTAAGCCACAACGCTAGAACCCGCTGTTATAAACCAGGCGTTTAAAATGCTGGCATGCAAAAGCAGGATGGAAATTCATCGCTGGGTAACGGACTTCAGGACTGCAACCTGACTTTAGGCAGCATGCAGGCTGCTGTTTGATCCTTGTACATGTACCACAACAAAGCCCAATCTCATTCATTCCAGTGATGGGAGGATGATTAAGCCACAACGCTAGAACCCGCTGTTATAAACCAGGCGTTTAAAATGCTGGCATGCAAAAGCAGGATGGAAATTCATCGCTGGGTAACGGACTTCAGGACTGCAACCTGACTTTAGGCAGCATGCAGGCTGCTGTTTGATCCTTGTAATCATCATCGTTATAAACCAGGCGTTTAAAATGCTGGCAGTGTCAGCTTGGCATGCAAACGCAGGATGGAAATACATCGCTGGGTAACGGACTTCAGGATTGTAACCTGACTTTGGCAGCATGCAGGCTGCTCTTTGATCCTTGTAATCATCATCATCGTCGTCGTCGTCTTAGAACTGCAGGGCTGGAGGGGACCCTATGGATCATCCATTCCAGCCCTTTGTCAAAGGAGGCACAGTAAGGGAATCAAACTCCCAACTTCTGGCTCTGCAGCCAGAGACCTAAACCACTGAGCTATCGAGGAATTTTAAAAAATAAAATCAAAAGCTTAAAAAAAACCCAAAATTACATTAGTTTATCAAGCAAGAACGCAAAACTGGCCTTTTAATTGGCTTAAGATTCAGATAGAAATAAATTCCCTAGGATAAAAACCAACTACCCCTCCCCATCCTAACCCCTCCCACCACCCCCCGAAATGGGGAAAGGAAAATATAAATGGTTTTTTTTCTTTAAAAACATTTTTAATGCCTTACTGCTTTGAAAGAAAGCGCTATTTTTAAAGAAAGCGTCAGTTTCCAATGTCCACCCCTAACCCATTTTTACTCTCCTGCAAGCACCACCACCACCACCACCTCCAGGACAGCTGTTGGGATGCGATCCAGGCTTCCCTAGGAGTAAGTCCTGCTGAACTTTGCGAATGAATTCTCAGCAGGTAGACCTCAGATCCCTTATTCTTAAAACCCTGCCTGCAAGAGCTTTTATAGCTTCTATGAGAGTCCCTCCGCCCTTCCCAAATATATATTTTTAAAAGGCCGTTTAACTTGGGTTGGAGCATGGCCGTGAGCTTTAAACCCCAGCTGGATCCTGAGCAAAATGAAGCATGCCAAGGAAAGCGCCCGGCCAGACGTTGCAATGTCCACATTTACGGCTTGGCCAAACCCCACTAACCTGGCACATCTCACTGCTCCCAGACCGGTGCATGCATGAATCAGCCTCGTCTCCCCTGTCTCCGAAGCTCATCCCGATGAGAAATCCTTTCCTTTCCCTGAATCTCACCCAGATGCCAACTCTTTGCAGAGAGCAGACGGGCCAGATTTTGTGACTCTGGTATTTTGTGACCCTGCCAAGGGGTGCCAAGGGCTGCCTCTTGCCACCGCCAGCCGCCGGGAAGACTAAACTTACCTTGAGCAGAGTTTCAAGCTGATTCTTTGCAGAAGGTCTTTCCCACCCAGCCAGCTTGCCCGTGGCTCTCTGAGAAGACCCTTGGGAGATGTGAGCAACGGGCCAGACCAAAGCATTTTTGTACCTTCTCCGTATGCAAATTCAGAGATGACTAGCACCCAAAAAGACTCAGAAAGCATGAGAAAGCGGGAAATCCCTTTTTACTACATGAGCACCTAATGGGGCATGGGGCATGTGCTACGTTCTCCCGAACATGTGCCCCCTCTTGATCTCCCTCCACCTCTTCTTCCTCCTTCGACACCACCCTCGTCTCCTCCCCTCCTGGTTGCTTCCACGTTTCCTCTTTTAAAAAAAAAAAGGAAAAAAAGAATAAATCAGGAAATATCTGTTGCTGGTTTTGCGGCTATTTTGGGAGCGATGAGCCAACCTTTAAAATGGGTCTTGTGAAGTATTCCAGGTCCCGATGATGCTATCCTGCAAACCCAGGTGGCCAGAGTCGGTGTTGGTGAATGGAGCCCAAGGACATTTTGGGGGTGA